TATTTATTTATTTGTTTGTTTGTTTATTTATTTCTATTTTATTTATCTATTTATTTTTTCATTTCTATTTTATTTATTTATTTATTATTTATTTATTTCTATTTTATTATCTGTTTATTTATTTATTCATTTCTATTTATTTATTTATTTATTTATTTATTTATTTATTTATTTATTTATTTATTTATTTATTTATTTATTTATTTATTTATTATTTGTTTATTTGCAGCGCCCCCGCGGAAAGTAGAAGAGGGCGTCGAGGGAGCAGCAGCAGCAGCAGCAGCAGCAGCAGCAGCAGCAGCAGATAAGAGAGGAACTCTCACTCCCCAGGAACTGGAGGCTGTTAAGGTTTGTTTATTTCTTTAATTCTTTTTTCTTTTTAATTATTTTATTTAATCTTTTTTAGTTCTTTTGTCTTTTTAATTGTTTTATTTAATCTTTTTAAATTCTTTTTTCATTTTAATTATGTTTTTTAATCTTTTTTAATTCTTTTGTCTTTTTGATTATTTTATTTAATCTTTTTAATTCAGTTTTCCTTTTTATTTATTTTACTTGAAGCCTTTGTTGAATTTTTAAATCTCTTTTATTCTATTTTAATCTTTTTTGTAATTCCTTTTGTTTCTTTTTTATTTATATTTTGATCCTTTTTTAATTCGTTTTGACCTTTTGAATTGCGTTATTTTAATCTTTTTTAATTCTTTTTTTTGTTTTATTTTATTCTTTTTAAAATTCTTTTCATCTCTTTTATTTATTTCATTTTACTCATTTTTTAGTTCTTTTTGTCGTTTTTGATTACTTTGTTTTAATCTTTTTTTAAAATTCTTTTTTCTCTTTTCTTTTTCTCTTTTTGAATTACTTTTCTTTCCTTTTTAATTTCTTTTTTTTTTATTTTTTCTTTTTTAATCAAAAAGTTATATTTATCACTATCTGATTTCTTCCAATTTGATATCTTTTTTTTATTTATCCAATTCCTTTTAATTCCTTTCTTTTAGCTTATTTAATTTAATTTTTTCTTTTATTTTTTCTTTTATTTTCATTTATTTTCATTTATTTAATTTATTTTATTTTTATTTTAATTTTAAAATTACTTTCAATTTTAATTCTCATTTTTCGTTTCTTGCATTTCCCCTTGCTCCCCTCCCCCCCAACCAATTTCTCATTTTCTTTTTCAATTATTTATTTGTTCATAATTATTTATTTATTTATTATTTTATTTATTTATTTATTTATTTATTTATTTATTTATTTATTTATTATTTATTTATTTATTTATTTATTTATTTATTTATTTATTTATTTATTTATTTTAGAAAGCCATAGGGAGGGCTTCTTCTTTGGAGGAAATTTCGCGTTTGGAAAATGCCCTCAAGAGAGGAGTTATGCCGGAGGGACTTTTGAGTGAGTTTATTTAATTTAATTTAATTTAATTTAATTTAATTTAATTTAATTTAATTTAATTTAATTTAATTAAATAATTAATTTAATTTAATTTAATTTAATTTAATTTAATTTAATTTAATTATTTATTTTGCTTTTAATTGTTTTATTTATCCTTTGTTTCCCTCTTTTACTATTCCGCTTGCTGCCTTCGGGCCCCACAGCAGCAGCAGCAGCAGCAGCAGCAGCAGCAGCAGCAGCGGCAGCAGCAGCAGCAGCAGCGGCAGCAGCAGCAGCAGCAGCAGCAGAAGTTGTTCTCTTGTGCTGTTTCTGCAGCAAATGACATGGAGACTGACGAGGCCCCACAGAAGTGAGGGGGGCCCCTGAACCCTCTTGGGGGCCCCCGGGGGGCCCCCAACTCCATAGGGCCCCCTGAACCCTTTGGGGGGCCCCTGAACCCTTTTGGGGGCCCCCAGGGGCCCCTGTACCCTATTGGGGGCCCCCGGGGGGCCCCGCGTCGAGTGGGGCTAGTGGACCCTCTTGGGGCCCCGGATTCCGTAGGGGCCCCTGTACCCTCTTGGGGGCCCCCGGGGGGCCCCCAAACCCTATTGGGGGCCCCTGGGGGCCCCCAAACCCTCATGGGGCCCCCCGGGGCCCCCGAGTCTCCCTTGGGGGCCCCTGGGGGCCCCCAAACCCTATTGGGGCCCCTGGGGGCCCCCAAACCCTATTGGGGCCCCTGGGGGCCCCCAAACCCCCTTGGGGGCCCCCAGGGGCCCCCAAGGGGGTTTGTTGGAGTTTGGGTTTGGTTGGGGTGTATGTACACCTGAGAGTGTCCTGGCTCCAAATGGGCCCTTTGGGAAAACAGGAAATTAAAAGACTTTTATTTTATTTTTCTTTTTTTCTTTTTTTATTCTTTTTATTCTTTTTTATTCTTTCTATTTTATTCTTTTTTATTCTTTTTATTTTGTTCTTTTTTGTTATTCTTTTTATTTTCTTTTATTCTTTTTATTATTCTTCGAACTTTCTTTTATTCTTTATTATTATTCTTTTTATTCTTTCTCTTTTATTCTTTTTTATTATTCTTTTTATTCTTTTATTATTATTCTTTTGTTGTTGCTCTTTTTATTTCCTTTTATTCTTTTTTATTATTCTTTTTATTCTTTTTCTTTTATTCTTTTTTATCATTCTCTTTATTATTTTACTATTATTCTTTTATTATATCCTTTTTATTCCTTTATTATTCTTCTTTTTATTCATTTGTTTTAATTCTTTGTTATTATTCATTTGCTATTTTTATTCCACTTTTTTATTCTTTTATTATTATTCTTTTGTGCTATTCTTTTTCTTTTTCTTTTATTATTCTTCTATTGTTATTTTTTTATTATTCTTTTATTATTCTTTTATTATTTTTTATTATTATTCCTTTACTCGTTTTTTCTTCCATTGCTCTTTTATTATTCTTTTATTATTCTTTTATTATTCTTTTATTCTTCTTTATTTTATTACTCTTTTATTATTCTTTTATTATTCTTTTATTCTTCTTTATTTTGTTATTCTTTTATTATTCTTTTATTATTCTTTTATTCTTCCTTTATTTTGTTATTCTTTTATTACTCTTTTATTATTCCTTTATTCGATTACTCTTTTATTCTTCTTTTATTCTATTTTTCTTTTATTCTTTTTTATTATTCTCTTATTTTATTATTCTTTTATTCTATTATTGTTTTATTATTCTTTAACTATTCTTTTATTCTCTTATTATTTTACTGTGCTTTCACTATTCCTTTGTTCTTTTATTAATCTTCCAATCTTTTACTCTTTTATTATTCTTTTATTCTTGCATTTTATTAATCTTTTATTCTTTTATTTTTTATTATTCTTTTATTAATCTTTCATTCTTTTATTTTTTATTATTCTTTCATTATTATTTTACTTTTTCTCTTTGTTTTCTTTTTTAATTGCCTTTATTTGCAGTGCAAGTTGAAGGCCTTTCCTCTCTTTTCATCTTTTCCTTTTTCTTTTCTTTTAATCTCTTTTTATTTCTTTTATTTTATTTTATTTTATTTTTATTTTATTTTAATTTCTTTTAATTTAATTTCTTTTAATTTCTTTTTATCTTTTTTTGTTTTTGAAGTTCCATTTGGGGCCTCAAAAAGCCCCCACTGCGGTGTACGTACACCTCCGTTTCGTTTTTATTTAATGAACAGAACATTTACTGTTCAAACAATTCTAATAATAATAGTAATAATAATAATAATAATAATAATAATAATAATAATAATAATAATAATAATAATAATAATAATAATAAATAATAATAATAATAATAATAATAATAATAATAATAATAATAATAATAATAATAACTCAATTAATTAATAAATCTAAATAATAATAATAATAATAACTCAATTAATTAATAAATTTAATAATAATAATAATAATAATAATAATAATAATAATAGTAATGACTCAATTAATTAATAAGTCTAATAATAATAATAATAATAATTCAATTAATTAACAAATCTAATAATAATAATAATAATAATTCAATTAATTAATAAATCTAATAATAATAACAAATTAAATAGTCAAATGATAAGTCTTTGCATGCACTCATCTCTTCAAATAATCCAACAGAAACAAATCAATTCTTCCCCCACAAAAAAGAATCAAATAAATACAACCAGTACCCACCCGCCAGGGGGCCCCCCGGGGGCCCCCCAGGGGCCCCCTAAAAACTTTCTAAGGGGGCCCCCTGGGGGCCCCCTGGGGGGCCCTGGGGGCCCCCTGGGGGCCCCCTGAGGACCTTCTAAGGGGGCCCCCTGGGGGGGCCCTGGGGGGCCCTTGGGGGGGCCCTGGGGGCCCCCTAAGGCCCTTCTAAGGGGCCCGCCTGGGGGCCTCTGGGGCCCCTGAGGACCTTCTCTAAGGGGGCCCTCGGGGGCCCTCTGTCTCTAAGGGTTTTGTTTCTATGGGGCCCCCGGGGGGCCCTCGGGGGCCCCCAAGCTCTAGAGGGTTTGGGGGTTTCTTTGGGGCCCCCAGGGGCCCCAAAGAAGCTTCTAAGGGTTCTTACGGGGCCCCCGGGGGCCCCTCTGGGGGGCCCCCCAGGGGGCCCCCAAGGGGGCCCCCCGGGGGGGCCCCCGGGGGGCCCCCGGGGGGGCCCCCGTTCTCAAATATGGGGGGCCCCCAAATGGGTTTTTCGTAAATGTACCTTGGGGGGGCCCTTTCGTAAATGGGGGGTTCGTCAATGACATGCTGCAGAAGGAAAAGACAAGAATTTAAATTAATTAAATTAATTAAATTAATTAATTTAATTTAATTAATTAAATTAATTAATTTAATTTAATTTAATTTAATTTAATTTAATTTAATTTAATTGATTTAATTAATTTTATTTAGTTTGATTAGGCCGGCTGGCTATCTCGCCAGCTACCTATCTACACCCCTGGCTAGCTATCTAGCTGCACAGCTAGCTAGCTAGCTACCTAGCTCGCTACCTAGCTAGCCACACAGCTAGCTAGCCAACTAGCAAGCTAGCTAGCACGTAGCTAGCTAGCTAGCTAGCTAGCACATAGCTGGCTAGCTAGCCAGCTAGCTACGTAGCACGTAGCTAGCTAGCTAGCTAGCTAGCTACGTAGCACCTAGCTAGCTAGCTAGCCAGCTAGCTAGCTAGCTAGCTAGCTAGCTAGCTAGCACATAGCTAGCTAGCTAGCTGGCTAGCTAGCTAGCACATAGCTAGCTAGCTAGCCAGCTAGCACACAGCTAGCTAGCTAGCACCTAGCTAGCTAGCTAGCTAGCACCTAGCTAGCTAGCTAGCTAGCTAGCTAGCTAGCTAGCTAGCTCACGTTTTGAATGAGGGGCTGGATAATGGGAGGCGGCTGGAGGAAGGGAACTTGGAAAGGAACAGTTTTGACTTTTTCGACGAAGTTGGGAATTTGGACTTCGCGGAAAATCGGAAAAGGAACTTCGAAGGGCACGCGGACCACCCGCACTTTTTCTTCCACCACGGGCCTGCACGCACACGCGCTGCTGCTGCTGCTGCTGCTGCTGCTGCTGCTGCTGCTGCTGCTGCTGCTGCTGCTGCTGCTGCTGCGGGAGTGTTGCTGCGGCTGCGGGAGTGTTGCTGCGGCTGCGGGAGAGCTGCTGCGGCTGCTGCGGCAGCGGGAGCAGCTGCCGCAGCCGCAGCAGCTGCTGCGGCCGAGGAACTACCGCCGCTGCTGCTGCTGCTGCTGCTGCTGCTGCTGCTGCTGCTGCTGCTGCTGCTGCTTACACGGGGACTTCGACGATTTGCTCGTAAAGCTTCTCCTTGGGCAGCGGAATTGTCTTTCCCTTGACGGGGTAAAAGTGGGGAATGTCCAAAAAGAAAGGAACTTCAACAGCAACTTCCACTGGCGGCGAAGGCACTGCCACGGGAGTCTCCACCACGTACTCCTGCAGCAGCAGCAGCAGCAGCAGCAGCAGCAGCAGCAGCAGCAGCAGCAGCAGCGGCGGCGGAGGGGTGGCGCGACTGCGGAGAGGCAGTGCGCCGGCTGATCGCTCGCTGGCAGCAGTCGGATCTAGCTAGCCAGCCCCCTATCTAGCTAGCTAACTAGCCACCACAGGTGGCTACCCACCAAACCACCCCAGCTACCCGCCCAGCTAGCTAGCCACCCAGCTAGCTAGCCACCCAGCTAGCTAGCCAGCTAGCTAGCTAGCCAGCTAGCTAGCTAGCCAGCTAGCTAGCTATCCTCCCAGCCACCCAGCCAGCTAGCTAGCTGGCTAGCTAGCTGGCTAGCTGCGCACCTGGACCTCGGGCTCCGGGACGAGCTGCGGGAAGCCTGGGGGTTGGGAGTTAGGGTTTAGGGTTTGGGGTTTGGAGTTAGGGTTTGGGGTTTGGACTTCGAAAACCTCCAAAGGGCCCGGGACGGCCCGCAGCTTCTCCACCAACTTCACCTCCACTTTGGGCACGCAGCGCACCCGCTCCACTGGCACGTCCACCACTTCCAGCTTTTCCTGCAAAACCCTAAACCCTAAACCCTAAACCCTAAACCCTAAACCCTAAACCCTAAAGCGTAAAGCCTAGGGGGAGTGCGCGCGTCGAGCCGCGGGCGCGGCTGCGGCGCGCGGAGAGAGGCCGTTGGGCGTCCTAAACCCCAAACCCTAAACCCTAAACCCTAAACGCCAAACCCTAAACCCTAAACCCTAAACCCTAAACCGTGAGCCCTGGGGCACCTGGTACTTGAGGACTTGGTGGATTTCGGGGACTTCGACGAATTTTTCGACGACTTGGACTTGCGGGACTTCGACGAATTTTTGGATTTGTTGAACAAAAAACTTGGGAACTTTTTTCACAACTTCTTGAACTTCCACTCGAGGAACGAAACGCCGCACTTCCCGCACTTGCGGCACTTCCACCACTTTCTCCACCACCTGCGGTGTACGTACACCCCAATCAAAAGCCCTTTCTGCTGTGTGTACACCCCAATTAAAAGCCCCTTCTCAGCTGTACGTACACCCCAATTAAAAGCCCCTTCTCAGGTGTACGTACACCCCAATACAACGCCCCTTCTCAGCTGTACGTACACCCCACTAAAGCGAGCTTTGTTCTCAGGTGTATGTACACCCCAATAAAGCGCCCCTTTCTCAGCTGTATGTACACCCCAGTAAAGAAAGCGCCCTGTTCTGAGGTGTATGTACACCCCAGTAAAGCGCCCCTTTCTCAGCTGTACGTACACCCCACTCAGCTCCCTGTTCTCAGCTGTATGTACACCCCACTCAAGCGCCCCTTTCTCAGGTGTATGTACACCCCAGTAAAGCGCGCTTTGTTCTGAGGTGTATGTACACCCCAATAAAGCGCCCCCTTCCCAGCTGTATGTACACCCCAATAAAGCGCCCCTGTTCTGAGGTGTACGTACACCCCAGCGCGAGCTGCAGCTGCGCCTCGGCAACCACCCCAACTCGAGGTGTACGTACACCCCACTCGAACAGAAACACACCCCACCTCGAGGTGTACGTACACCTCAACTACGCCCCACCTCCACGCCAACTAACACCCCACTGCGAGCTGTACATACACCCCAACTCAAGCTGCACATACACCCCAACTCAAGCTGCACATACACCCCAACTCAAGCTGCACATACACCCCAACTCGAACAGCACATACACCCCAACTCGGGTGTACATACACCCCAACTCGAACAGCACATCCACCCAACTGGGGTGTACGTACACCCCAACTCGAACAGCACATACACCCAACTGGGGTGTACGTACACCCCAGCTCGAACAGCACATACACCCCAACTCGGGTGTACATACACCCCAACTCGAACTGTACATACACCCCAAGTTGGGGTGTACGTACACCCCAACTCGAAGAGCACGTACACCGGAGTTGGGGTGTACGTACACCGGAGTTGGGGTGTGTGCCGGCGGACCTGGAGGTGAGGGACTTCGACGACTTTTTCGAGGTAATGGACTTCGAGTTTGGGGACTTTGCGGAGGACTTCTTGGAAAGAAACTTTGGGGACGAACTTCTCCACAATGTGCACTTCGGGGACTTCCACGATGCGGTTTCGCCGGATCGTCTGGCTTATCATCGGCACCACGATCACCTCGCCGCCCTCCGCTGCAGCAGGGTTTAGGGTTTAGGGTTTAGGGTTTAGGGTTTGGGGTTTGCGGGGCGGGGGCCGCCCCCCGCCAA